GGCTCAGACTCTGAGCTCCCAGTGTAGAGGGCCTAGATTCGATCCCTGGTCAGAGAATTTGAGCCTGCATGCTGCAACTAAAGAGCCACACGATGCAACAAAGATCAAAGATCCCGCATGCCACAGCTAAGACTCAGCACAGCCAGATAAATAAGTATTTTTTAAATTATTCAAATTTCTTTAAAATCCAGATGAAATGTATGCTCTAACTTCCCAGGCCTTTCCCTGGTTGTTCAGCCCTCTGTAGGCTCTTGCCTCCTTTTGCCAGAGACCTTGAGTCTAAGTCAATCCAGGCTCAATTTAGACAGGCTGCTTCTTCTCACATTACAGCATTTTCATCACAATGAAGAAAAGTAACATAATTCCTATTCTGTAACATTTGTGTATGAATGTACCCATTAAAAAGTTTAACACAGTATTAAATAATTAGATAATATTTTAAAGAACTTTATATACATGCAAAACTTCTTTGTGGGATATGATATAATAATTTATAAAAAGATGTACATAATAATATGTATTGATATATTTGGTCTTCAACCTTCATTCATGACTCACACACCCAAAGTGCTTATAATTTCCTGAGTGATTAGAGCAATAGAAACATCTTTTGTTACACTTGTTTTTTGTCCTTGGTTTCTAATATAGCTCAGAGCAATAAATGTAAAATGGGTGTCTTTTATTAATTTTTTTTAATGTATATGTGTCATTGAGTCCCTTAACAATTCACCTGAAACTATCACATCATTGTTAATCAGCCATACCCCAATACAAAATAAAAAGTTTACAAAAGAAAATTAAAAATAAAATTTTAAAACCTTTTCAACCACACCTGAGTTTATGCTGGTGAGATAACTTTTGTAATGTCCCTATATAACCTATGGATAGAGGCTGATTAACAAGGGGACCAACCATGTAATTAGAGTGCTGAAACTTACAGCCCCACTCCCCATCCTCCAGGGAAGGGAAAAGGATTGGAGGTTGAATTAAGCACCAATGACTGATAATCAGTCATTCTATTGATATATGATGAAGCCCCAGAAAACCCCGAAAGGACAGGGTTCAGAGAGCTTCCAGGTCAGTGAAGAAGAATACTTCCATTGGCCAGGACAGTAAGGCATCATCCCAAACTTCATGGCGACAGAAGTTCCTGTGCTCAGGAAACTTTCAGACTTCATTCTATGTATGTCTTCATCTGGCTACTAATTATTCTGCTTTAATAGCCTTTGTAATAAACTAGGAATCTCAAAAGTAAGAGGCTTCCCAGGTGGCTCAGTGGTAAAGAATCCGCCTGCCAATCCAGGATATGCAGGAGACTTGAGTTGGATTCCAGGAAGGCCCTCTGGAGGAGGAAATGACAACCCACTACAGTATTCTTGTCTGGAGAATCTCATGGACAGAGAAGTCTGGTGGGCTACATTCCATGGGGTTGCAGAGTCGGATACCAAACGCATGCACACACTAGTAAGTAAACTGCTTTCCTGAGTTCTGTGAGCTGTGCTAGCAAGTTAAACAAACCGACAAATTAAACATTAATACAAAATAGATGGTTTTCTAAAAGATAAAAATTATTGGAAATGACTAAGAAGAATCAGAAATCCTAAGCCTCAAAATCATAGAGAAAAGGGAAAATGTGGTAAAAAAATAAAATCCTCTTAAATAGATAGAAGTTCTGAGAACTTCATGGGAAAATTTAACCAAATTTCTAAGAAGTATATATATATATATATATATATATATATATATATATATGCTATGGTCTGAATGTTTGTGTCCCTCAAAAATTTACGAGTTGAAATCCTAATGCCCGAAGATGGTGGAATTAGGTGGTGGCGCATTTGGGGGGTGCTTAGGTCTTGAGGACAGGGCCATCGAGAATGGGACTCATTAAAAATAATAATAATAATGGAACTTGTACCTTATAAAATAAGTTCAAGAAAACCCCTAGACTTTCCCTTCCATCCTGGGAAGAGACAGGATGAGGGTTGTCACCAACACATGATCATGCTGATGCCTTAACTTGGACTTCCCAGCTCCAGAAGTTTGAGAAATACATTCTCTGTTGTTTATAAGCTACCCAGTGTCCAATGTTTTGTTACAGCATTCGAAACATGCAAAGACACTATAATACAGGTAAATTTAATCAAATGGTTCAGAAAATAGAAGAGGAAGAAGAGCATTTTGACTCATTCTACAAAGTAGACATAAACTAATTTCAAACTTGCAGAGCACACACACATAAAAACTGTGGGTCTTCCCACTTACAGACACAAATGCTTAGAGCAAACTTTACAATGTATTTAAAGAATGCTGTATTCCAACTATGTTAGACCTAGTCTCTCAGCCCTCAGCATCCACTCCTACCTCCTTCATCATACCTACCATTGCTTCGAAGAATGGAAAGCTATGAATGACATTTTCCAGGCTCCCTTTTTATTTTCTTGATGCAAATTTGTAGACACCAATTAAATTCAATAGTGTGTGAGACTTGGGAGTAAAAATGAAGCAGGAGCTAACTTTCTATTGATAATAAAGGTCATAAATTTTGAATTTCCAGATACAATTGTGGCTAGAGTGAGTATTCCTGTGTCCAGCCCCAGACCCTTATGGGTGAAAAGAAAATTGTGATGGAACTTCCCTGGTGGTCCAGTGGTTTAGACTTTGCCTTCCAATGCAGGAGGTGCTGCTTTGATCCCTATTCAGGATGCAAAGTTCCCATGACCAAAAAGTCAAAACATAAAACAAACAATATTATTACAAATTCAATAAAGACTTTAAAAGAAGAGAAAATGGTGATGATGGTGGCATGGAGGCAAAACTCTCTGGATGTTGCAGACCCTGAGATCACTGTTACTGCAGTATGACCTTGACCTCAAGGGCATCATTCAAGAATCACCAACTCAGAGAGATATAGAAGCTAAAAGGGGCCAGGCCCCACCATTGCTCTCGAGAGGCAATGGACATCTCAAATGAACAAGTGTTGGACAGCAAGAGTCAATCCCCATGAACGTTATCTTTTATCACAGGTTTTTTCTGTGGAATAGCTGGATTTGTGGTTTTGTTTTTCAGAACTCTGCTTCAGCAAGATATGAAAAAAAGATGAGGTTATGGAAGCTCATCCAATTCCAGATATGATGAAGGGAGAGGGCCATCAAGAAACTACCCCCTGTCCCCAGAAGAATGGGTTGAATTTGTCACTTAGCCACCTGCTTGGCCCTAATCCTCCTTCAGTGGCCAGTGGATGAGGAAGGTGCGTGTCTGCATTAGGAAGCAGACAACTGGACATGAACTTTCATGGTAGAAGGAAACCAGCAAGAAACGGATTGCCGACCATGCTGGACAAACTAGATGAACATGTGCATCCAAACAAGGACTGTTCTGTGTCCTCGCATTTGAATGACGTTGTGCTGGGAATTCCCTCTGCAGGGATCTGGCAGGACTGACATGCAGTTCTCTAAATGCACATGTTTGTCTCATCTTTTTTGTCATTTATTAAAGTATTAACACACTTTATATTAATTAAAATACTAATTAAATGACATACTATTAATAAAATGCTAATTGATACACTATTATTTAAAGTATTAATATACTATATACTATAATCTCACCTTTATATAATTAAAAAACAAAATGCTCCAAATGTGAAGAAAGGTAAAATGCTGTGTATTGAGTGCTGCTAGTATCCCTGTTTTCAACTTCTGAAATACTGTTCATGGTTTTTTATTGTTGTTATTCTCATTTATAAATATATCATGCTGTATTTACTAAAAAAAAAAAGAAAGAAAGAAAGAAAGAATCCCCAACTCTCATTAATTTAGTCTCCAATCATCTTTCATATTTAAACTTTGGGTGCACAAAAAAATTTTAATTATAATTTGAGATCCCTAGTACACTAGCCTCTTGACATTCTTGTTTTCCTTTGTTGTGTTTGATGTTTATTATATGAATATCAGTAGCCAATATAAAAGCTAGAACTTTATAACATGTCTATGTGCTCCTGCCAATCCTACTTCCTGCCTACCATAAAAATGTCACCATTATATTGAGCTTTGATTATCAAACCCTTGATTTGTTTTCACTTTTACCATATATGTGCCTAAACAATGCAAGCATACTGACAAAAGTTGGTGGCTCAGAGGTAAAGAACACGTCTGCCAATGTAAGAGACGTGGGTGTGATCCATGGGTAAGAAGATCCCCTAGAGAAGGCAATGGCAACTCAATCCAGTATTCTTGCCTGGAAAATCCCGTGGACAGAGGAACCTGGCGAGTAGTTCATGGAGTCACACGTCAGACACGAATTTGTGACTAAGCAGGCACACACTGATTAAAGTTATCCCCACAAAACAACTCTTCATTTTAATATCCACATTTCATAGACCCTAGATTTCTCTTAATACAGAATTTGTTGGATGATGTTTATAAATGAAAAATGTAGATATATATACTTCCCAATATGGTTGTACCAAAATAAATTCAAACCAGTAAAGTGTAAGAGATCTCATTTATCTACATCTCCAACACTTGGTATTACCTATTTATTAGTTTTTGCCATTAAAATGGGTATGAAGTATTATATTACTATGATCTTGACTTGTGGTTCTCAAGTTATGAGTGAAGCTGAGCATCTCTAAAAATACAGCTTATTAGGTTGTGTATTTCCTCTTCCATGAAGTGCTTTTCAATTATTTTTCCCAATTATTGTCTTTCTAATTATTTAATGACAGTTGTTTATAGGTTCTTGGTATTAATACTGTGCTCAAAAACACTATAAAGTGTTTTGATAAGCACAAGTTCATAAAGAATCTGCCTGCCAAAAAGAAAAAAAAAAAAAAGGATCTGCCTGCCAGTGCAAAAGATATGGATTCAATCCTAGATCTGGATGATCCCCTGGAGAAGGAAATGGCAACCCTCTCCTGTATTCTTGCCTGGGAAATCCCCTGAATAAAAGAGCCTGGCAGGCTACAGTCCACGGGGTCACAAAAGAGCCAGACACAATTTAGCAACGAAACAACAACAAAGCCTTTTAATAGACAAAATAGTACAATATCTGGAACAAGGAATGTTGAAAAGAGGTATGAAGAAAAGAGAAGAAAAGAATGAATAACAAACTAAACAAAAAAATAATAATAATAAAGGAAAGCTCATCCTAAGATTAGTGGAAAAGAGGTTAATAGAAGAGGACGAACTGAAGAGAGAAAGGCATCAGAATATCCCCATGACCTGATATGATAAGGATTATCTAAGTTACAAAAGAAAATTACATTTTTACAATGGGTCTAAATTTTAAAGATGTTAGTGAATAAAGTTCCACTTATAGGTAAATCTTCTTCATCTCACATATTGATTTCCTTTTAGAATCACAGAAAACATCGTTCCAGCCCCATCCTCTCTCATCCCAGAAAACAACTGAAGCACATTCCTCTGCAGAAAAGTTGGGTTCATTTTGGTGCCAAAATCTAAGGAGAAACAAAGGGTAAAAACACTTCAGTGAATGCTGAGTGATTGATTAGAAAGTACATAGGGTCAGGGTTGAAAAACTTAGGGTTCAAGATGAAAGAACATCCCAATGATGACTCCTTTTTTTCATATAGCCATCCTCAAAAACACCATATGCAGGTGGCTTCCCTGATGGTTCAGTAGTTAAAATTTTGCCCCCCAATGTAGAGGGCACAGGTTTATCCCTGGTCAGGGAGCTAAGATCCCATATGCCTTGAGACCAAAAATCCAAAGCATAAGCAGTATTGTAACAAATTCAATAAAGACTTTAAAAATGGTCCACATCGAAAAAAAGTCTTTAAAATAAAACCACATGTGCAGACACATACTATCACTCTTGCTAATCTAAAATTCTCCTGGAAAGTAAGTTTTTATGAAACAAGACAAGATTTAATGTTTTAATATCTGATCTTCACTTCCTCTCCTATACAGAGCACTTATCCTGACCTCTCTAACTTATGCACTCTTATCATATTCCTAAATCTCTCTGCTCTCATGGAGCTACACAAAGTGAGTATCAGAATGCTTGAGTCTGGGATACAATCTGTGGTAGGGTGGGATGGAAGGGATAGGACATTATTTTTGAAATTAAAAGACCTAGTACTGCTGCTGACTCATTTGACTTTAAGGAATTAATTAAATTCTTCATCTACAAAGATAGGAATCACTGTAAGTTCCCCAAATAGTTCACAAGGTTGTGTAATTATCAAATGTAATAATGTATAATTAAATTCAGGGTTTTTTAAAGCCACAAACAAATAGTATTATTATATAGTTATCCTATTAGAATTTCAACATAATACTGCTTCAGACATTTAAATCTTATTAATTGGAGAAATACTTAATTGAATTGTTTAGGAGCAGCAAAAGTAACAGTTAAGAGCATTATCTTTGGACTTAAATAAACATAGAGTTGAGACTACTTTCTCATCTTACTAATTTATTGAAGTTGGGCTATTTATTATATTTCTTATCAGTAAAATGAGTTCTGAAAAAGAAGTTTTTATGAAATTTAGGTAAGATAATGCATGCAGTTAGTAAGAACTTAATGATTGTTAGACTCTTGATTTCATAATTATAGCCATTAGTATTAGCATTAATAGTTGCTGCTAACAAAATTTCTCTAATTTTTTTGTGTAAACAAGACACTAGGGTTCATTAATCTGAGTCTGCACTCACCTGACATTTTCCTTGTAAGGTGTCTGATCAATCCATTGCCAATTGCCATTCCCTTGTGGGTCTGAGAGTCCCAGAAAATAAGAAAATGTTTTATTCAGCTGCTGGATAATGAAATCCTATGAGAAGAAAAAGAGTCACAGGCTGAAATTTCCAGGTTGGATCAAGTAAGGGTTGTCTGTAGCTCTGGAGAAAAGAAAATGCAGGTATGAGGAACAGTGTCATGACAGCAACTGGACAAGAGTGATAGCTAAAAACACCAACATTATCCCAGAAGGAAGAAAGCTCTGTTCTGTGAATTCCCATCTCAGACTATTTATTCTTTTCTTCACCAAGAGACAATTCTTTCTCAATGTGCAGATCAGTTTCTGTGCTTTTAAATGTTTAATAAATTTTACAAATGTGTGTGTATCATCTTATTTATCATTGTTTATCAGTAAAATTACATTTGGGTCATCAAAATTCAAATTCATTTTTGTCTACTTTCCTAAGCAGTACTTCTCTAAGAAGTAGGTTTCAATACTTGCAAAAGTTAAACATAAAGGAGTTCTAACTAAAGTTTAACTGTAGTATGTGATTAATTTCTGAAATTATTTAGTTTTGACTAAGAGGAGCAAAGATGGAGAGTAGAAAGGCCCCGAGTTCCCTCCTTTCACAGCACACTAGGATTACAACTATTTATAGAGCAACTGGCAATGAGAATGACCTGCAGGCTAGTTGAAAGATCTACAACTTAACCACAAAGTGACTGGTAGATGGGTCAGAGACACAGAGGAGTCAAGATCCATATACCCAGATAGGTAACCCACAGATGAGATGATAATTAAAATTACAGAGATTATCTACAAGAAACAATAGACCATAGAGTAGTTAACTGGATAAAAAAAACAAACTCCAGTGAGACTCACTTCAGTCTTAAAGGACACACACAGACTGAAAGTGAACAAATGGAAAAAGGTATTCCACACAAATGAAGCAAAACAGAGTAGGGATAGCAAAAAATGAATTTGGACCCTTACTTTACACTGCATTTTAAAAAAAAATTCAAAATGGAAGATAGACCTAAATATAAGACCCATAACTATACAAATTGTGAAAGAAAACACAAGGGAAATGTTCTATGACACTGGATTTGGTGATTTTTTTAGCTATGACACCAAAACCATAGGCAACAAAGAAAAAATAAAGTAACTAGACTACATCAAATTCTAAAACTTCTGAGCATCAAAGGAAATAATCAACAGAGTGTAAAGGCAACCTGTGAAATGGGAGAAAATATTTGAAAATCATATATCTGATACGGAATTGATATCTAGAATATATAAAACTCCTATAGCTCAACAAAAAAACACAAATATCTCAATTTTTAGAATAGGGAGAGTACTTGAATACACATTTCTCCAAAGAAGGCATGCAAATGATCAACAAATATATGAAAAGATGTTTGATACTGCTAATCATTAAAGAAAAGGAAATCAAATCACAATAAAATATAATTTCACACCCATTAGGATGGCCACTATTGGAATAAAGACAAAGAAAATAATGTGTTGTCAATAAAATGGAGAAATTGGAACCTTTGTGTACTCTTTGTGGGACTATAAAATAGTGTAGCCACTGTGTAAAACAATATAGTGGTTCCTCGAAAATTTCAAATTAGGATTACTATATGATCCATCAATCCCACTTCGGAGTATATATGCAGAATAATTGAAAGCAAAATTTCAAAGATCATCTGTGGTTATTTGCAGCATTGTTTAGGGGAGCCAGGTGATGGAGCATCCCAAACATCCACAAATATGTAAATGGATAAGTGATACATGTTTTATACATAGAGTGGAATATTATTCAGACTTACAAAGGAGGAAAATCCTGTCACATGCTACAAAATGGATAAATTTTGAAGATATTATACTAAGTGAAATAAGGCAGTCACAAAAATACAAAATACTATATGATGCCACTTGTATGAGATATCAATAAGTATTAATAGTCAAACTCATAAATACAGAAATTAAAAGGGTGGTTTCCAGGGACTGGAAGGAGGGTGAAATGGGTTGTCACTCTCCATTGGGTATAGAGTTCAGTTTGGCAGGATGAAAAAGTTGTTAGATCTTGTTATTGAATTGGTCAAAAAGTCCATTTGGGTTTTTCCATAAGACATTAGCTCCAATACTTTGGCCACCTGATGCGAAGAGCTGACTCTTCTAAGAAAGGACTCTATGCTGGAAAAGATCGAAGAATGGAGAAGGGGATGACAGAGGATGAGATGGTTAGAAGGCATCACTGGCTCAATGAACATGAGTTTGAGCAAACTCCAGGAGATGGTGAAAGACAGGGAAGCCTGGCATGCTGCAGTCCATGGGGTCACAAAAAGTGAAACATGACTGAGCCACTAAACAACAATAAGGCATTACAAATACAATAATGTGAATATAGTTAGCACTACTAAACTGTACGCTTAAAAAGAGTTAAGGTGGTAAGTTTTGTTATTCTCTTTCCTCATTTTTTTTTATTTTAATGAAAAATAAAGAAAACCAAAGTACCTGCTCTGCTTCTGTGTTGATCACCACCAAGTGAGCTCCCATCCCAACGCAGTTCTGCTCACTCTTAGCCCAGAAATTCTCTTTAGAAGAAATAAAGTAGCAGCTGGAGCTGAACGGCTTCCAGGTACCTGGGCAACATCCCCAAATCTTTCCTGCGTTGCATGAAAGCAAAGGGTGAGTGTAAGATGAGACTAATAAGCTTAAAGGAGCACTTTCTATACATATAAAATTCTGAGGATCTGTAGTCGTTTTTCAAAGATACGTGTCTTAATTCATGTATTTCCTTTCAGTGCCCTTTATTATATAATTTGACGCCGTAAAATTGCTTGTAAATAAACATTCTTCAACATTAAGCCCTCAATACTTACTAAGGTTTGCCTGCAAAATTTTTCTGGATTTTTTTTTTGCCAAAAAAATCACTATCAATATTTTTTTCCTATTCCTTATATTCTTTATACATTAGAAACACCAAATTCTTTCAGAGTTTCAAATGATCAACTAAGTGAGTCTGGAATTCCAGTTCTGCTTAACAATCTTGGGCAAGCCACAGGGCCTAAAATTTTTAACATTTTGATAATGATAATTATTCTCAGGATGATTGTAGAAATTATAATTATTTATCATTAGAACTGTCTCTACCATTTATTGTATATGTCCTTGAGCAAATTCCATAACCTCCTTGCACCTCATTTTTTTTGCACCTCATTTTTTAATCCTTAAAATGGAAATAACAGTACCAAACTCAAGGTGAGAGTTAATCATGTAAATATACAAAGCACTTTAAAGAATGCTTAAGATGTAATAATTGCTCATAAATATTACCTAGTACTAATTTTTACACAGTATCAAGCACTTAAGAGTATTAACAAATAGTTGTCCCCTTTCTCCTTCGAAGCACCAGTTTGTCACTCTCCTTAAATTAAAATATCTGCGACTAACTGTAAAAATATCCACTGATGTCTTTTCTTTGTGTGTGTGTGTATATATATATACATATATATATATATAATTTTAGCACATGTATATGTATATATAAATAATATAATAAATTTGTTGGGATTTGAACTTTCTTAAAGGTATTATATGCAGTCTTCTTGGGCTTAATTTCTCATTGCATAATGCTAAAATTCATCCATATTGTTATATGTAGTTCTATTTGTGTTTTTAATTATGGTCAAATTATTACATATTAAGTAATGAGAAAGCTTTTAAAGGCTTATTATTCATTGTATAATATTATAAAATTTTATTATATTATAAAATTTAAAATTTTAAATATTATAAAATGTTATTCATTTTATAATATTATAAAATGAATAAAATAGACTAATGAGTATCATTTTAATATTGGCCCCCTTTAGAAATCTATCTTAATTATATATTCTGATCACTATTAAAAATTGGTTTTTCATAAGACTTCTCAAAATGTGCCTTAACAGATTATTTTAATTTTAAAAGTCTAATTTGACTGACTGTTTTGTTAGTAGGGATTGGCCTTGCCAATTAATTATACATTTCAAACATTTTTCACATGTTAAATACAAATCTCCAGTTACAAGGTTGACAAAAATACTGAAAAATGTGATGAGTAGAAAAATTTGTCAAAAAAGCATATTGATTTTAATATATTTCATTTTCCTAACTGTTCTGAGAATAATGGACTCATTAAAATGGTTTGTAAGTATTGAAAAACAGATGTAATTAATAGTCATTTGCTAAGACTTCTTAAACATTTTTGGTGTACTTTCCAGAAATTGAGAAAGCAAATGACTACTGGCTGAAAAATAGCAAGACTTTGCAAATTATTCCATTTATTATTCTTAACATCCAACAGCATTGAAAAATAACCTAATCAAATTCTCAGCAGACCATTACAAGTAATTTTTGGAACTAGAACACTGTATGATTTCTGGCAAATAACTGAAAATTTTCAAAAAATTGACTGACATCCTAACAAAGCACATTCTATGCCTATCTACTTATTTAGGTAAGTAAGGCTTATCTAAAGTTTGTGTTGCTAAAGTGAAAAACAGGAATAGAACTGATGTTGAATTCTCTCTCATTCTAGTAATAATGATAACCAAGTAGATACAGTCTGATTGCATTTTTCAAGTCCCATTCATCTAACTAAGAGATGGACTTCCAATAGGATTTTGCTTTATTAGTAGTAACTTATCAATATTTAAAGTACATTTGTGATGTTTTGAACACAAGAAATTAATTACACTTAAAGCCCAGTGTTCCATAGAATATAAATACATTAATAAAACTGGAGCATAACTGCTAGAAGCAGTCAAAATGTTTGGACCTATACATGGATCACCATGAATGTGACAACTAAATATGCAGACTGATACCGCAAACAATTGCCACTGGTGATGTGATATTCTAAAATAATAATGTTGAGCTTTTTTTGTCCAACATCTTAGCGAGGTGGCAGTGGTCGCAGTTGCTCTCCGGCCTTCGCTATGCCGCCCAAGGACGACAAGAAGAAGAAAGATGCCGGAAAGTCGGCCAAGAAAGACAAAGATCAGTGAACAAATGTGGGGACAAGGCCAAAAAGAAGAAGCGGTCCAAAGGCAAAGTTCAGGACAAGTTCAATAACCTAGTCTTGTTTGACAAAGCAACATATGACAAACTCTGTAAAAAGTTCCCAACTATAAGCTTATAACTCCAGCTGTCGTCTCTGAGAGACAGAAGATTCGTGGTTCCCTGGCCAGAGCAGCTTCAGGAGCTCCTTAGTAAAGGACTTATTAAACTGGTTTCAAAGCTCAAGTGATTTACACCAGAAACACCAAGGGTGGAGATGCCCCAGCTGCTGGTGAAAATGCATGAACAGGTCCCACCAGCTGTACATTTTGAAAAATAAAACTTTATTAAATCAAAAAAAATAATAATACTGTTGAATAAACTTCTGAACAAAAGAAAAAATAAAAATATTAATGTATACTTATCTATATATTTTGGCAAATAGGGGAAGTGTGATGTAAATATTAGTCCAAGGGGGAAAAAGAATCATGTCAAACATCTAACAGTTAAATAATATATGTTATTTTTTTCCTTGATGTGGACCTTTTTAAATGTTTTTACTGATTTATTACAATATTGCTCTTGTTTTATGTTTTTGCTTCTGTTTTATGTTTTGACTCCCAATCAGACCTGCAACCCCTGCATTGGAAGATGGGGTCTTAACCACTGGACCACCAGGGAAGTCTCAATGCATGATGAGAGTGGAGGTAACACTTTGTAATGCCATTAAGACACTAGTAGATACATTTTTAAAAGACATAGCAGGTTTTTTAAATGTTAGTACTAACAACGCTCCGGAAATTGAAGCCTTTGCTTCTATGTGTGCTCAGTCGCTAAAGTGTGTTCAACTTGGCGACACCAAGGACTGTAGCCCACCAGGCTCCTCTGTCCATGGGATCATCCAGGCAAGAATACTGGAGTGGGTCACCATCTTTCGCTTCTATAACATGATGCAAAAATATAGACATCAAATTAAGTTATGTAAGGGAGAACATAATCTCTTTTTAACATTTACAAATTTATTTTTTATTTAAAAAATCTTTTTGCTCAACATACTACAGACAGAAAGCTGTATAAAACTGATATATACATTAACAAATTATTGAAAGTTGAACATCCTTATAACTCCCACTTAGGTCAAGATACAGAATTTTACCAGCTACCCCAGATGGCGTATATGTGCCTCATCTTAATCACAAGACCCTTTCTACCCCTCTAGATATAATAACTGCTTTTCAAAATTCTTTTAGGGGCTTGGCAAACAGAACAGTTTAAATGTGACAGGTCAGGCTTCCCTGGTGATCCAGTCATTAGGACTGCCTTGCAATGCACAGGACACCAGTCTGATCCCTGGTCCAGGAAGACTGCACATACCATGGAGCCACTAAGTCTATGTGCCGCAGCTACTGACCCTGTGTGCTGCAACTATTAATACTGAAGCCTGCACGCCAAGAGACTGCTCTGAACAGCAAAAGAAGCCACAGCAGTGAGGAACCCATGCACTTCAACTAGAGAAAGCCCGCATGCAGCAACGAAGACCCACCATAGTCGAAAAATAAAATAAAGAAATCTTTTTAAAAAAAGAAAAGGAGAAAGAAGATAGGCCTAGGCATAGCACGGGTCCACTGAAAAAACTCTGACTTTACCCATGCCTCTGAATATCTCAACACCAGGACTGGGTCGGGGGGGAAAGGGAAAGATAAAATGTGGGTTTCAATTAGGCTTTAACTTCAATCAAATGGGAATTTTGTGTTTGAACTTTCATTTTTCCTTTTCATTGTCATAATAATTTGAAAAGTTATTGTTTAAAAATTGGGCATTTTTATTTGATGATATGGTATTATGCAACATAATTTCATCCTATAAGCTTATCTGTAACTTAAATTGGTTGTGTTGAACACCCTGAGTGGCCATTAAGTTGGATAGATTTAGAGAGTGAATTTGCAGTCTCTTGTGTCAGACAAATGTGGAGTTAATTTAATTAATATCCATCTGTTTTGTCCAATTCAGAGTATTCTGAAGGCAAAGGCTTCCAGAAAAGTATTCTTTAAAATTTCAGTAATTATTGTTGAAGTGTCTCCCGAAGTCAGGAGGAAGACAATCCTGATAGACTTATGTTTTCCTCCCCAGAAGGGCCAGCTCTACAGCTGTTTGAGAAAAAAAAAAAACTCCAATGTGACAACAAAACCATAGGTCAGGGAGAGTAAGGAAAATTACTCCTCAACACCCATGCACTACATTCTTGCCAAATACCAAAAAAATGGGGGAATTTTCAACATCTCAGAGAAGCACAAACAAACCTCTGCCCTCTCGTTACTGTTCATAAGTTTCTTCATAAAAGCAGAGGAGGAAATATTTAGTTCCTGAAATAGCAGGAGTCTAATGTCTATTTGGGTTTCATTACTTAGAAGGAGTCAAGTCATAATGACCACTGCAAACATGCACTTTGCATTTCTTGGGCTTTTGTGAGTCAGACCAGTGTTGATTCTGAATTGAACTCAACCAATTCTCTCTGTGGCTCAGATGGTAAAGATTTTCAGCTGGTAAAGAATCCGCCTGCAATGTGATTGGGAGACCTGGGTTTGATCCCTGGGTTGGGAAGATACCCTGGAGAAAGAAATGGCTACCCACTCCAGTATTCTTGCCTGGAGAATCCCATGGACAGAGAAGCCTGGTGGGCTACAGTACACGACTGAGCAATTAACACTTTCACTTTACTTTCGATTCTCCATATGCTAAGTTACGAGGGTTATTGTTTAGAGTAGGGGCAGTCTCATTGAGACAGGAAGACAGCAATACAGCCATTTTGAAAGGACTGGGGAACAGCCTTGCACAAACCAGCCCTTGGAAGCTAAATAGGAGCTTGAGTCCCAGAGACACAGGTGAAAAAAAGCAGCAAAGCAAAAACACACTTGCAGGAATAAACGATTGGCTTTATCTCTGCTATGTTAATGAGTGTATACCTAGTTGCCACAAGAAGCTCAACTAAATATTTTAACCTTATCTGTTTCTGTCCTTTCTTGCAGAAAATCTTCCTGTATTCCCTTTCCCTCACACAAGCTCTCTCTGTTCTTGACAGCCACCATGGACCCATCTGCCACTGATTTTAAAAGCCTGATGGACTTCCCTGGTGGGCCAGTGGTTAAGAATTCTCCTTCCGATGCGGGGGACTTGGGTTTAACCCCTCATTAGGAAACTAAGATCCCACATGTGCTGTGCTTAGTCACTCAGTCGTGTCTAACTCTCGCGACCCCATGGACTGTAGACCCCACACTCCTCTGTCCTTGAGATTTTTCAGACAAGAATATTTGAGTGGGTTGCCATTTCCTCCTCCAGAGGATCTTCCCCACTCAGGGATCGAACCCGTGTCTCCAGTGTCTCCTGCATTACAGGCAGATTCTTGGTAACTATGTGCTGCTGAAACCACAGAGCCTGTTCTGTTTAGAGCCCGTGTGCCTCAATGAATACTCAGCACAGCCAAAATGCTAAAATATTTTTTTAATGTTTGACAACTGTTGGAAATTATCAGTGATCATGGGACAAACCCTCCTTATTGTTATAAAAGCAACTCACCCCCTACTACTTGAGGAGCTGGCATTTTTCTCCCTGCCTTCTCTCTTGTGTACAAGCTGTCTACTTTAACAAAAAGCTTTGCCTGCCTAAGACTCTTGTGGAATCAATATTCATTTCTATGGTATCACTGTCCAAGGATCTGGAAAGGACGTGGTAACATCATCCTGAGCCATGTTCCGAGCTCCAAGTTGACCGTAATAAAACTGGTTCTTGGAATGGACATGGGCATTATTTTTATTTATCTATTTTTGGCTGTGCTGGGTCTTTTTTGCTGTGTGTGGGCTTTTTTCTAGTTGTGACGAGAGGAGGCTACTCTCTGGTTGCAGTGCATATGCTTCTCATTGCGGTGGCTTCTCTTGTTGCCAAGCACAGGCTATAGGGCACACAGGCTTCAGTAGTTGTGGCACGTGGGCTCAGTAGTTGCCACTCCTGGGCTCTAGAGCACAGGCTCAATAGTTGTAGTCCAGGAGCTTAGTTGCTTCACAGCATGTGAGATCTTCCCAGATCAGGAATCAAACCCACATCTACTGCTTGGCAGGTGGACTTTTTACCACTGAACCAGCAGGGGAACCTTGATATGGGCATTATTAATTGGGCACTTTAGATATCAAAAAGATTTTATCCATTTGGTAGAGGGTGACGGTAATGTGAAACAAGAACCGTTAGGAATAATTTCTAGGGTGGGCTTCAGCAAATTACGAGGGTATGTTGGTAGCACGTATTGAGGTCAACAAGGCTGGAGGAGGCATTTTTTGAAGGCAAGTCTAGAACCTGATATGAACAACGAAGTTTAGAGATACATTAAATATATTCATGCAGCAACTTTGCATGCTGTACTGTGCTTAGTCGCTCAGTCATGGCCAACTCTTTGCAACCCCGTGGACTGTAGCCCACCAGAAGCCTCTGTCCATAGGGATTCTCCAGGCAAAAATACTGGAGTGGGTTGCCATGCTCTCTTCCAGGGGATCTTTCCCAACCCAGGGATCGAACCCAGGTCTCCCACATTTGACCAGATTCTTTACCATCTGAGCAACCAGGGAAGCCCGCAGCAACTTTATCTTTTTTTAATAGAATAAACCAATCTTGAACTCAACCCTGACCTCTGTCTGAGAAAAGGGGATGTCTAGTTAAACATTGCAACACCTTACCTGTCACCCTTGTCCCTTCACTGAAGCAGGTTAGATTTGAATGGTGTGTGTGCAGTTCAGACAGCCTTTTGCCAATGTTGCCATATGTAAAATAATAAGTCACTGTAAAAGGAGAAGAAGGATTAGTATCCTTCCATTCTTTCACTATTGAGCATTATGCTCTAAATCTGTGCCGCGCTGGGGTACCTGCAACTGCCACCACTCTCTTCTTTCTAAATCAGCTCAATAAAGACTATGCTGATTGTGTATGGAATCTAGGGAAAATGTACTGATGAATCTATTTGCAGTGCAGGAATTTAGACCTGGACATAGAGAACGACTTGTGGACACAGGGTGAGAAGGGGAGGGTGGGACGAACTGAGAGAGTAGCATTGACTTATCTACACTACCTTGTGTAAAATGGATAGCTAGTGAGAACCTGCCGTAGAGCACAGGGAGCTCAGCTGGGTGCTCTGTGATGACCTAGAGGGATGGGGTGGGCGCGTGGAAGAGAAGCACAAGAGGGAGAGGATATATGTAGATGTATGGCTGATTCACATTGTTGCACATCAGAAACTAATGCAATTACGTGTTGTATGTTAGTCACTCAGTCGTGTCCGACTCTGCGACCCCATGGACTGTACCCCACCAAGCTCCTCTGTCCATGGAGTTCTCCAGGTGAGAATACTGGAGTGGGTTGCATTTATACTCCAACTTTTTTTTTAATTGTTTACTACTTGCTTGTATGCATTGTCATGTTTGTGTTTATGCCGACACATTTATTTTTGACTCCTTCCCCCATTAAAATTTAAGCTCTATGTTCTAGGGCAGAGATTCTGTTTTCTTTCTTTTTTTTTTTTTTTCATTAATTTTTATAAGAGTGTGGTTGCTTTACAATATTGTATTAGTTTCTACTGTCCAGCAAAGTGAATGAGCCATACATCTACACATATCCTCTCCCTTTTGGACTTACTTCCCATTCAAGTCACCCCGAGCATTAAACAGGGTTCCCTGTGCTATTATACAGTATGTTCTCATTAGTTGAGATTCTGTTTTCTATACCAGTTAATCACTTAGAGCTGTGACGATCATAATAATCAATAGACACTGTTTATTCACTGGCTATCTGCTTATCTTTAAATTTTTTTAACTTTTTGTTTTGCATTGGTGCATAACCGATTAACAATGTTGTGATAGTTTCATGTGGACAGTAAAGGGACTCAGCCATACATATACATGTATCCATTCCCTCCCAAACTCCCCTCCCATCAAGGTTGCCACATAACATTGAGCAATACAGTAGGTTCCTTGTTGGTTATTCATTCTAAATATAGCTGTATGAACATGTCCATCCATAACTCCCTAACTATCTCTTTCCTCCGTACTTTCCCCACCCCTTGACCCAGCAACTATAAATTCATTCTCTAAGTCTGTGAGTCTTTTTCTGTTTTGCAAGTAAGTTCATTTGTATCAGTTTTTTTTTAAGATCCCACATTTAAGGGATGTCATATGATAGTTCTCATTTTCTGTCTGATTTACTTCACTCAGTATGACAATATCTAGGTCTATCCGTGTTCCTGCAAGTGGCATTATTTCATTTTTTAATGGTTGAGTAATATTCCATTGTATACATGTACCACATCTTTTCTATCCATTCACCTGTTGATGGACATCTAGGTTGTTCCATGTCTTAGCTATTGTAAACAATGCTGCAATGAACATTGGGGTACATATATCCTTTGGATCATGTTTTGCTCCAGATATATGCCCAGGAGTGGGGTTGCAGGGCCTTATGGTAGCTCTCCTTAATGTTAATAATCCTGAAGTGAGTTTGTAGTTTATTCCAGTATTTTTAAAACTTTCTGACTGCTGGTAGCTACACTTAAACATAGAGGATGAATAACAACCAAGGGGAGCCTTTAAACCTTTAGAGACATTTTAAATGTCTCAAATGAATATAAACTTTTATGTTCAGGGTGTGCACATTGAGTAAGACCTGTTCTCTCTCAGGTCCTGACTTGATTCCTCACTTATATCCTTCTCGTCCTTCTGTTATTGAAACCCTGGAATGTCAAACATTATTACCTCTCTCTTAGCCTGTCTCGGAGTTCAGAATACCTGCTTCCTTTTGATTAGTGAAATAGCTACCCTTAAACTCCTTTCTCTCTTCCACTTGACTCTGTAAAGTAAAGCAAATTCTAATCCTGGTGATAATTCTTTGTGCTTTAATGAAGACTATAAGATTGATTTACATGTCAGAAGGAGCTTCAAATATGGCCCATTTGACATAGGAAGTCAGTTTCACCCCCTCAGATTATTCAATAACTATTTTTAACCACCTTGTCAGTGAATAGAGAAGTAAATTGTGGGTTAGAGAGCAAAAAGGCCTTTAAGACTTCTCACAAAATGAGCCTGAATTATTTAACTGGAGGCAAAGGGAACAGGAAAGAAATACTTTATTCTCTTCTAGTTCCAATATTCCACTTGAAAACCTTTTCCTTTCCTAGTGGGAAAGACTCCCATATGAAAACCAAAAACCCTAATCTAAAGTATTATGATCATAAAGGCAGTTATGGCCATCCTCTCACTAAAGGGCTTTATGACACGTGATCACCATGAACACAGGAGTGAAGATGGAGTCCTCGAGGATGGCAACAAACAACATACAATCTAGGTGAGGTCATGATTGGGTAAATGCTAGTAAAACCAGGCAAAATAAATCTGAAAAAAGAACCAGTTATCAAAACATGGAGGAAGCAGAGTAAAGGGAGGAGAAGGGGAGAGGAAAATGAAGAAAACACATGGCATTCCAAGTAAGAGCTAACATATTAATGGGTGAAAGAGAACATATTCTAGGGAAGGGGTCCCCAACCTCTGGGATCTAGTGCCTGATGATCTGAGGTGGAGCTGATGTAATAATAATAACAGAAAGAAGGTGCACAGTAAGTGTACTGTACTTGAATCATCCTGAAACCATTCCCTACCCTAACCCCTAGTTTGTGGGGAAATTGTCTTCCACAAAGTGAGTGCCTGGTGCCAAAAAGGTTGAGGATCACTGCCTAGAGGGTCTACATAGAACTTGATGGGGAAGGGATCAAGGGACATAGCCCCTCAGTGATGAACTTACCCACACAGCTCACAATGAAACATGCACTGAGGAGGACTAAGCAAAGTACCAGGATACACCAGAGCCTCACATGGAAGCAGGATTCTGCTTTCTCTGTCAAGTCAGCAAGACAGATGTAGTTACCAGGGGTTCCAGGAAGCAAGAGACCCTAAGAAGCTTAGAGCAATGAAGACACCAAATGAAGAATCTCAGAGTAATTGGGACTTAAATTAGAAGAGAACTTAGGGGACTTCCCTGGCAATTCAGAGGTTAAGAATTTGCCTTGCAATGCAGGAGACACAGGTTCCATCCCTGGTTGCAGAGATAAGATCCCACGTGCTGGGGGGCAACTGAACCCACATGCCTCAACTAAGACCTAACACAGCCAAGTAAGAAAATATCTTTTTAAAAATAGAGAGAGAGCTTAGAAATGCCCTCAAGATTAAATAACCAGGTAGTGGCTCTCGAAAGTGGAGCTAGTGGTAAAGAACTCGGCTGCCAGTTCAGGAGATATAAGAGATAGGGGTTCAATCCTTGGGTCATAAAGGTCCCCTGGAGAAGGAAATGGCAACCCACTTGAATATTCTTGCCTGGAAAACTCCATGGACAGAGGAGTCTGGTGGGCTACAGTCCATGGGGTCACAAAGAGTTGGCCATGACTGAAGTGACTTAGCAGCAGCTCTCAGGTCTTAAACAATCCAGGCAAAACTCATTCTCAGCCAAAGGTAATTTCCATTTCCTTGTTCTTTCTTCTTAGTATTGTAGTCATCTGTTGATTTCCCCATCTTTCTAAAAATATCATTTCTGTCTCTTACTTCTCATAAACCTCTGTGGTGTATGGTTTCTTACACTTTCAGGTGAGTCTGGCCTCTGAGGAATTATTCTCTCTTTCAGTCTCCCATGACTCCACAATGTGGTCCAATCTCTTTCCCATCCATTTGTCTGTTGTCTACCTCTTCTCTCCAGATGACTCATCATTTCATCACACACTTATACCTTCCTTTCTTGAATGGAGAAAAGGAATACTTACCTTCCCGCACCATTCTCTCGGCTCCCTGTGTTCAGGAGGTCCAAAAGCCTCTTTCTCTCTCTCTATCTGAAGATGTTACCCAGAGCTCTGGCTTCATTCAAAGAAGTCAGAGCTCAGAAATGAACTGCTGAATACTCTGATGTGACTAAGAGACATCCAATATAAAGGGCACCTTGAAAGAAGAAGTTGCGGTTTGGACTATAGATTCCAGTGATTTTTAAATAGTGGGTAAAATGAAAGAAACTGAGAAACCTAGCCTAAACTGTTCATGAGAACTTCAACAAGAATACTCACATCATTTGTTCACTTTCTGACAGAAAGTCCCTCTCTCTGATTCCTACTCAGAACAGAGTAGGAATCTTTTTAAAAAAAATTTATTTGTAAGATGTAATTAATTCAGTGGTCCTTAGCCAATTGGGGGGGGGCTTTCCTGGTGGCCAAGTGGTAAAGAATCTGCCTGCTAATGCAGAAGACTTGGGTATAATCCCTGGGGAAGGCAGATCCCTTGAAAAGGAAATGGCAACCCACTCCAGTAGTCTTGCCTGGGAAATCCCATGGGCAGAGGAGCCTAGTAGGCTATAATTCATGGGGTCGCAAAAGAGTCTGACATCATTTAGCAACTAAACAACAAGCCAATTTTTACACTGAGTTTTATGTAAGACTTAACCCATGTGTTTAATAGTGTCCTAGGAAGTGAGAAAAATCTGAATAGATATGACTTAGATAATAAGGGTTAACATACTAAATTACATGAAGAACAATGGACATTGTTTAGGAATATAATTGCAAAGTGGAAGAGACTGGAATCTATCTGTAAAAGTGATAAAACATTCTTATTACATCAAGACCAAGACTGAAGAACATTTATTAATATATTACAATCTTCTTGAGTAGTAAGGAAGAGCTGAAGTGGTATAACATCAAGGGTGAGGTTTATTAATTTCTTGTGATTACTTAAGGGCTTAGGGACCCTTCCTTACATATAGTTTCCAGAATGTAGACTTTTCTGTTAATATTATGTACATCTCCACAATCTCAGTTGAGCAACCACAAATACAAGAAACAAAAATCAAAACTACCGTGGATGTATGAATATTAAACTCAGCAGGATTTGTTTGTTTGTTTTTCTGGTTGTGCCATGCAGTGTGTGGGATCTTTACTCCCTGACCAGGAATCAAAGCTGTACCTCCTACACTGGGAGCTCAGAGTTTTAACCACTAGACCACAGGGAAGTCCCAACTCAGCAGGACTTTTTAAGTGATAGGATGCTGCTACTGCTGCTGCTGCTAAGTCACTTCAGTCATGTCTGACTCTGTACGACCCACCAGCCACCCCCACCCCCTGCCCGTTCCTGGGATAGTTATCAATAATAATGAAAATAGACATTGAGACTAGGATTAAAAACCCACAAAAGGCTCCTCCCAAATTGGTTTGGGATGCAACAAGTCATAATAGGAGAAGAAGAAGTGATTATAAAACATCACCATATGTTTCCAGTTCCCGTCAGAGATGAAGAAACATAAACCCAAGGATGAAGTCACTTCATGGTCCAGAAAAAGAATATTCTCCTCAAACGTGGAGAAAAGGGAAATCTGTACACAGTTGGTGGAAATGTAAATTGGTATAGCCACTATGGAAAACAGTATGGAGATTCTCTAAAAAACTAAGAACAGAACCATATGGTCCAGTAATTCCACTCCTAGGTATATATCCAGCAAAATTAAAAACTCTAAAAGATGCACTGTCAGTCAACATGAGATCTGACTGACATTCATAGAATACTTTACCCAAAATGACAAAACACACATTTGTCACCAACTCACATAGAATACTACCAAGATAGGCCACATTCTGGCCCATAAAATACATCTGAACAAATTTAAAATAATAGGAATTAGACAATGTCTGCTCTCAGCCCACAGTGGTATTAAACTAAAAGTCAGTAATAGAAGAACAGCTGGAAAATCCCAAAGTACTTGCAGATTAAACAACACACCTCTAAAAAACACAAGAGTCAAAGAAGATTTTTTTTTTTAAGCCATGCCACAGGGCTTGCAAGATTTTAATTCCCCCACCAGGGATCAAACCGGGCCTACAGCAGTGAAAGAGCTGAGTCCTAACCACTGAATCACCAGGAAATTCCCCCCAATTTTTAAAATTTTAATTAAATTAAATGAAATGTATCAAAATTTATGGGCTACAACAAAGGAAGTGATTATAGGAAAATTTTATACCACTGAAGCCCTATATCAGAAAAGACAAAAGAAAAAGAAAAGAGAAGTCTCTCAGTTGTGTCCGACTCTGCGACCACATGGACTGTAGCCTACACAGGCTCCTCCGTCCGTGGGCTTTTCCAGGCAAGATTATTGGAGTGGGTTGCCATTTCCTTCTCCAGGGGATCTTTCTGGCCCAGGGATTGAACCCAGGTCTCCTGCATTGCAGGCAGACGCTTTACCATTTGAGCCACCAGGGAAGCCACTTCAAAAAGACAAAAGACCTAACTAAAATCAGTAACTTAAGCTTCCACCTTAGACAACTATAAAAACAGAGAAAATTAAATCCAAAGCAAGTAGAAGAAAAATAAATAATAAAAGTGAGAGTAGAAATCAATGAAACTGAAAACTGCAAAACAATAAAGACAATGAAACCAAAAGTTTGTTCTTTAAAATTATCAACAATTATTTTTAAAAATCAACAAAATTGACAATCCCCTAGCCAAGTTAATGAAGAAAAGAATAAGACATAAATTACCAAAATTAGAAGTGAAAAAGAAGTTATAAAAGAAGTTATCATGAATTACCCACATAGACGTTAAAAGAATCACTAAGGAATATTACTGGAAAAGCCCACATAACTACATGCATTACAGAATGCAGATCACTTCTATTCATTGTGATAACACTGTTCTCAAAGCAGCTTACAGTTAGCATTCTTTTTTTTTTAAACATGTATTTTATTGAAGTATTTTTTAAAAAAAATAGATGTATTTTATTGAAGTATTGTTGACTTACAATATTTCAGGTTCACAGCAAGGTGATTCAGTTATACAAATACACATATGTTATTTTTGAAACTATATTCCATCATAGGTTATTATAAGATAACGGCTATAGTTCCCTATGCTATAGGGTAAACCTTTGTTGTTTGTTGCATATCTATTTTTCAATCAGAAATCTATCATTCTATCTATAGTAAGTCCAAAAAGTGGAATAAAAGTGTTATAATTTTTTTAGTTAGGCAAAAATTCATGTTTTCCAAGATGTATATATTATGCATTTGTATATATATATGTATACAAAAGCTTTTCTACTACACTTGATAAAGGCTGAAGACAGAATATCAAAACAAAAAAAGAGAAATTAGGGAACATAAACTAAATGAAATGGGAGCACTGAATATGAAATACAAAAAGTGAAACAAATTAGATAAAAGTAAAAGATCATCATATAGTCCAGTTGTTTTAAAAAATGACTGCTCATTAGAAACATATCTGGAGTGATTACAGGTTTTACTATTAAATCCTAGTTTTGGTGATATAGAGTTCTATTACTTTTCTGATGATCAGTCATAATACAATGGTATAAAGTGAGTAACAGTTACATAATCACAGTAGTGAAAGATGTTTATCAGCTTTCACAATCAACAGCCAGACAAAAAAATAAAAGATAATTACAATTGCAAGCCATACTAGGAACATGATTAATTTAACAATGTAAAGCAATTACATAGAATTGGGGGGGGGGGGGCTCAAACAGAGTGATGTGGTAAGTAGAAGTGCATACATGCACATGTTTTCATCCACCCAGTCAGTCTATGTCTTGGTTGGTGCATTTAATCCATTTACATTTAAGGTAATTACCAATATGTATGATCCTATTACCATTTTCTTAATTGCTTTGGGTTTATTTTCTGTAGGTCTTTTCCTTCTCTTGTGTTCCCTGCCTAGAGAAGTTCCTTTAACATCTGTTGTAGGGCTGGTTTGGTGCTGCTGAATTCTCTTAACCTTTGTTTGTGTGGAAAGCTTTTGATTTCTCCATCAAAACTGAAGGAAAGTCTTGTTGGGTACAGTATTCTTGGTTGTAGGTTCTTCCCTTTCATCACTTTAAATATATGATGCCATTGCCTTCTGGCTTGTAGAGTTTCTGTTGAGAAATCATCTGGTAGCCTGATGGGGTTTCCCTTATATATTATTAGTCATTTTTCCTGTGTTGCTTTTAATATTTTATCTCTGTCTTTAATTTTTGTCAGTTTGATTACTATGTGTCTTGGTGTGTTACTCCTTGGGTTTATCCTTTCTGGGACTCTCTGTGCTTCCTGGACTTTGTTGACTATTTCCTTTCCCATGCTCAGAAAGTTTTCAGCTATTATATCTTCCAATATTTTCTCAGCTCCTTTCTCCCTGTCTTCTCTCTCTGACCCCTATAATGTGAATGTTGGTGTGTTTGATGTTGTCCCAGAGGTCTCTTAGGCTGTCTTCATTTCTTTTCATTCTTTTTATATATTCTGTTCAATTAGCATTCTTATAAACATCTTTGTTAGAGGTACACTTTAACACTCCCCTGCATGTATTTCAGGAGAGTGATGTCTATTCACTGGTATAACAGCGGTCTGAACGCAACTTGCAAATTGCATTTTTTTTGTTGTTGTTTTGTCACTAAGTCATGTCTGACTCTTTTGAGACCCCATGGACTGTAGCCCACCAGGCTCCTCTGTCCATGAAATTCTCCAGTCAAGAATATTGGAGCAGGTTGCCATTCCCTTCTACAGGGGATCTTCCTGACCCAGGGATCCAACCTGGATCGATCTGCCTGCAATGCAGCCAGATTCTTTACCATCTGCAAAATGAGATAGTCTCTTGGGAAGACAGTTTGGCAGTTTCTTACAAAGTCATGAGTAATCTTAATATAAAATCCAGCAACTGTGCTCTTAGATATTTACCTAAATGAGTTGAAAGCATGTTCACACAAAAATCTGCATATGAATGTTTTGTTATTGTTTTTTAGTTCCTGAGTCATACCCAACTCTTTTGGGATGCCACGGACTGTAGTCCTCCAGGTTCCTCTGTCCATGAAATTTCCCAGGTAAGAATACTGGAGTGGGTTGCCATTTTCTTTTCCTGAGGATATTCCCAACCCAGGGATCAAATCCAAGTCTGTTTGAATG